AGAGGTCAGTAGGTGAGATGGGTGCACAGGTCCTGGATGGAGAGGACAGGTCTTGGATGGGAGATCTGGGACTGCATGAGCCGAATTTCCCCCTCCAACAAACCAAAAAAACCAACTCACTGCCATCGAGTAGATTAGACTCATAGCGACCCCTCCTTGGGTTTCCAAGCTGCTATCTCTACAGAAGTAAATTGCCCAATCTTCCTTCCAAGGAATTTCCCCTCTACCTCCTTGCAAACTGATGTTTTGTTTTGTTTTGTTTTAATTTCATTAAATTGCAAGATGCTTCCATTCTGTACCATCAGCCCCAGACTAATCATATTTTCATACAAGAAGTCCCTTGGACCAAAGGGATTTTCCCTGCTAAGTTAGGGAAGTAAGGATGGAGTTACCACCCTGAACCTCAGCTTGCTCATTTGTGAAATGGGACCAGCATACTTACTTCATTGGGTTTTTGTGTTGATTAAATGAAATAGTGTGTGTCAAGATACAGTAGCAGCATTTGAGAAAATATTTAATAATTGAAGGTTCTTGGGTAGTGCAAGCCATTTGCAATCAGCTGCCAACCTAAAGATTGGAGGTTTGAACTCACTCTTTTGTGGCTCCATAAAATAAAGGCTCTAACTCTAACTCATTTCTAAATCATCTCCCTTCGTTAGAGGTATAGAAGGCCAGGGAGAAGTAACTGGCTGCTCCAAGATACTCACGTATATGAGTCCCGAGAAGTATCTCTCCCTCAGGTTGTGTAACACAGAAGCTTCATTGAGGCAGGTCAGCTCTGCCATGTCCTCCACCTTGGAGAACTTGGGTGGGTTCATCTTCTGGATGTCATCCTTGCCGACCGTGACCTTCTTGCCATTCTCCACCAACTCCACAATCACTTCATCCCCCTTCTCCTCCTTGATGCTGGCTGCCTCGAAGCCCTGCTTCTCTGAAGGGACCCAGACCAGCTTCTTGGCGGCCCAATCAGCCTGGGCCACTGGACTGTTGATGAAGTTTTTGTCCACAAAGAGGAACTTCTCATCATCACTGAGTTGGCCCTTCTGTGCCATGGTGCCTGGTTGGTCCCCTGTGGAATAAGGCAACAGGGTGAGAATCAGGCCAGAACCAAGCCCTAAAGACAGAGGAGCCTCTAGCTTCACCGTGTCTACAAACACAGCCTGCAGAAACACTTTACAAAGTACAAAGATGCTCCTGCAGTGTTGTTTATGGTTATTAAAAAATTGAAATACCCTAAAGGTCCTTAAGGAGAGGATTTGAATCATTATCTATAGTAGCAAAATTTAAGAAACAATCCAAATGTCCAACAACATGAAACTGGATACACAAACCAAGGTATTTTCATACAGTGAAGTACATGCAGTGGTAAAGAAGAAAGAAGTATGGCTACATGTGTTGACATGGAATGATATTCAAGACTTATTGTATACTATAAAAATAAAGGGGCAAAGTTATGATAACTTCTTGGCCACAGCCAACCATCCTGAGGGAGGGAGTAGTTGGACTTGTGGGCTCAGGACCATGGATGGTCACAGGGGACATCAAGCTCAACTGACATAACATACTACACAAAAACACTGCTCTACATTGTGCTTTGGTGAGTCACAACTGGGGTCTTAAAAGCTTGCAAGTGGCCATCTAGACACAACAATGGGTCTCTCCTTGTCCAGAGTAAAGAAGAATGAAGAAAACTAAAGACACATAGAAACAATTAGTCCAAGGGACTAGTGAGCCATGCCAACCTCAGCCTATATGACTATGAGACCAGAAGAACTAGATGGTGCCTTCTACCACTGTCAACCATTCAGAAAGGGATCAGTGCAGGATATCCTGGTTAGAGTGGGAAAACAACGTGAAACAAAACTCAAAATCAT